CCAGGTTCGAGACAAGGATGTCATGAAAAACAGCCTTAAAACACTGTAGATGATTTCTCAGATTTATCTGTTATTTGATTAATCTGTTGCATGTACTTTCGTGTTTTTCTATATGAACAGTGACAATTCTGGATTAATCTGCATTTAGAACTAACCTTGCTACAATGGTATTATGATACTTTAAAATATCTGTGTTGTTTTATGTCTTTATTGGATTCATTCCACAAACCAAACTTGGGATATTTAAATTCTAATAATTATTAAACTATTTTGGTAGTACTAAATACTTCTCTAATTCTTGGGATAATTCTCTGGTTTTGTAACTCAGAACTTTATTAACATCCAATAAATTGAATGGGCAAATACTGATGTGGGCTAACAAAGCTGTTTTGATTTGGTCAGGTTCTCTTAATCAAATCTACTAAATACAAACGTGCCAATATCTAGCGTTGTGCTCCTCACGTGCAGAAAAATGTGGGTGTTCGCTAATTCTTTCTTTTCAGATATTTTGACAAATTATGCAAATTTCTCAAAAGAAAAGCAAGCCCTCTCCACTCAATGTTATCCCAAAGTCCCTCTGGGTGGTTTAACGTTATGTGGACTCCTCGCACCTTGTGAGTGTGTAGGACGCAAGAACACTGATGTAATTGACAGTCGCCTTGCTCTTCAGCTGTCCTAAAAATGTGCTTTTAGGCAGGAGAGCAAGCACCGCTCAGACCCCTCGGTGTGCCTGCCACCCACCCCAGCCACAGTGACCCCCCCCTCACTGCCACGTGTTCCCATCTGCCATTGTGCTAGCAGAAATACCAGCTTCTCCCTCTTGCACCTGGGGAAAACTGTAGGGGAGGGGGCTAGGAGATGACCAACAGTTGTCCACGGACCTAGATCCATATACAGATCCATTGTTTTATATAGGTAAAAATAAAGAGCGATTCAGGAAATACTAACAGGGAAAGGGAAGATGAAACAGAGAGGAGAGGTGTTACTCACCGAAGGGGCAGTGGCAGAAATACCCTTCCATCCCACTTTGACAGGATCCACCATTGAAACAGGGGTTGCACTCACAGTAGTTGACAGCAGAGTCACACGTTTTCCCTGTGATTAGAGAATAAAAGCAATTCCCAGGTCAGAGTATTTAGGTCAATAGGAGAGTCAGGCTGGTATTTAGGTAACGAGCTTATGAACCTATGGCCAGTAGGGAGGGTGTCAAGGACCAGTGGTAGCTGCGGGATGGAGAAAAGAAACAGGCATGATGCTGGGCTGCTCCCAGCCCTGACAGTGGCATAATACATGGCCCAGAGAAATTTACTTTTCAGGTGTCTCAGTGTAATTATCTCACATAGGTATTGGTGGTGTGGGGTTTTTTGTTTGTTTGTTTGTTTGTTTTTTAATTAACTGATGTCTGTAAAAGACAGAACATGAAATGAAAGGAGATGTTGAACAAAAAAAACTTCTACACCTCCACCCCCCAAACTGAATGCAATGTACTCATTATTGTGAAGGAGATAGAGACAGCCCTTGCTGAACCCTGTATGAATACACCACACTGAACACAAGCTGCTATTGTACATTATATGATTTTTTCATACTTTTCCTCATCAATTATAACCTCTTTCCTGACTCAGAGGGACCACAGTCCTCTGGAGATAAAATATGTTACCCTGGATACAGTCCTTTTCTAAGCAGATATTATCACATGTGGTAAATATTATACACCAGAGGATAAACTGAAATCACATTAATTCATTTCAACAAGGAAGGGAATCAAGAGAAAAAGTGAAGATTTTAACAGATACTGAATAGTGACAAAGGGATGCTTTATACAAAACTAACATTTTCTTTGTATGGAAACTAACTACAGAATTGTTGGTCTTCTGAGTTTTGCATCGCTTAGCTTTCATCAGTTTATTGACACTTCCACGATGTACCAACTCCTGGTACGTGCCTTCCTTCTGCCAGCACTGACAGTCTAGGCTGGCTGCTCAGCAAAAGCCTTCTAAGTATTGTCATGTTTCTCTGCAAAAACTGGCAAAATCAGCTACGCCCTTCCAGACCTCTCCCTGCACTTCATCTCAGCCGGGACATACACACATACGGCCAGGACATACAGCAAAGGTTAAGACTGCCTTATGCTTCTTGTTGCACTGATAATTAAATATCGTATTCCTCACACCACATAAATATAACATGTAAGTTAAAAGTACAACAAGAGCTTGCATAGAGGGTGTTCATTCTTACATGTCACAGATATCTTGTAATTCTTACATCTGACATGACAGCACAGTATGCAGTCCTTAGGGCTTGCTGGTCCCTAAAACTGTAGAAAATCAGGACTGTGCTATATTTACTCTCATAACTTTTTCAGAATTTCACAACTTCAGTCACCTAATTAAGAAAATCTCTTCTCCCCCCGCTTTCTACTTGTCTGTTTAACCCAAAGGGGTTTTCAGGCAGTCCTTCCATGTGAGAAGCAGCCCTCCATGTGCAACTGCAAGCAGAATGGAAATGGAGCGCTGGAGGATTCCTGTGGTTAATACGTAACTTGTAGCTTCACCATAAATCCAGGAAACATTTCCAGTGTCTGAATCTAATTATGCTTTGGGGGTATTTATTTATATTTTATTCTCTAATGGGCATGACTGAAGGATGAGCTAACTTTTAATGTTAGATTTGCTGTTTTCTTAATTTTAAAATTATGGTACATAGTACTGATCTTTGACTTACCGATGAGAACATGTAGCAAGAGTGAGGCAGAGATGCTTAAATTAGCTCAGTGATTCTTAGTTTTCACAGAAATCAAGTGCAGATAATAAGGCTTGCTCATTTTTTTGCGACTCAAACATAATACTTTTCTTTTTCTCGGTTAACAGTAAAGGTGGCATATTTGCTGAGTCAGCAACAGAGTATGGATGTTTATTTTAGCTGCACATATTTTAACCGGCAAATAATAACATCTTCATATTTAACAATTGTTTGAATAATTCATGAAACTAATACAATTGTGTTTGCATTTACTCCAATTGTTTTGACACAGAAGACGAATACTCTGATTAAACAATTCATCAGAGCTATTAAAACTAATATTTATTTAAAATAAAAAGGAAATTTCTTTGCCATTCATTGAAGTGCTAAAGGCCTGGGAAAAATGTAAGTCTATTTACATTTGGAATAATGGTACAACAAAAGAAGTCTGTGAAGCTCCTTTTTACTCTTTAAATGCATGTTAAGCATGCTTATCCTAGAAAGCAAAAGTCCTTCATCCAGATATCAACAGGACAAAAGTACAACTTGGGAATACTATTCTAGTTTATCACCGTGATTGCTTTGTATAAGGATTTAAAATAAATTACTATGATAAAACAAGGCCATCAGAAAAACCTGGTAAACAGGTGATGAGAGTAATGAAGTAAAAACTGATAAATTACCAAGTAGGTAAACAGTATAACATAATGTCACGTAACTACCAAAAGAAAAGAAAATTATTTTTATAGTATAACTCATTTTCAATTAAAAAAACCCCAACCTGGTATGACCACTTAAAACTCTTAAAGACATCCGCCTTCTTTTTCCTGCTTTAAGATAATTTTCAGTTACTTTTCTTTTCTTCTAAAAGATTCCAACTCTCCTGAATTTCTTCTCCTATGTATATCCCTCCAGGCAACGTTACCCACCAATTACTATACATCAGCTTCTTCTGAAGACAGTTGCTGCTACAAGGCCGCAGTTCCCTCTTTTCTGCAGAATCCTGAACTTCTTCAATTCATGCAAATTTCCTGATACCTTTAGATCTTTGGTCAGTCCCTCCTTAGAATCCTCTGAGACAGAAACTCGTACACTCCTGTACACCCTCTAAGCAAGGTCTCCATATTTCAAGCTATTATTGCCAGGCTGCATTGGTTATTCTGCCAAGATCCAGAAAGTTTCTGCCAACTCCTGGTTTTCGGATGGTCCACCAGTGTTCAAACTGCATCTTCTTACTCATCCTTTTTCATCTAAACCATGTTCCTCCTGTGCCCTTATTTTTTCCCTCTGTTGTTATTATCATCAGGAAGTGGACTCTTCTAGACCTCTGAGCAAGGACATATACTCCAGAAATCATGGAAAAAGTTAGGCTGGAGGGACCTTAAAGGTCATGATGTCCCTTTGACTTTGTTCTTTAGCACTTTATTCTTCTAGCAAGTAGAGGCATCCAAGGGGGCAGCAGGTTGTCCTACCACTTTCAGTTCTCTCCCTTCCCGCATGCTAATGCTAATTTTCCGGTACCTTAGTAAAAGATAGTATTTGTTCAAATTCACCCTTATGGCCTACTGGTTTCATGGGTTACAGACACAATGAGGTGTGTACTGTAGATTTAGATTTGGAAAAAGAAAACATAGGTTACAAATCCATTGTTTTACGCATTCTGCCGAAAATGATATGCTTATATTTAGATACTAATTTTTTTTATAGAAAAAAAAAGGGGTGGGGTGGGGTGTTAGAGAGTACTGGGGTTTTTTTGAGTAAAGAATTTACACGAGTACTAGCTATTTTGAAATTCTTTCTTGCACAGATAAAAGAAATCATTCAAGGAACCTTACTGAATTGAAGAGGATAAGAAACTGCCACTATGCATTAAAGCATCCTCACCTGAGCCCAAGTGCTGAGTTTTACTGCTTTCCAGAAAGCTGAAGTCAATGATTTTAACCTCCCAAAACTAGAGTAGTTTCATTTTTCAGAGGTCATTTTCCACAGCAGTCTGCTGTCTTAAGTTTTACAACACGAATTTAAGAGCAATGCTCCAATACACCTCTATCCCATGTAAGTAACGTACCTCAAAAAATTAAGATATGCATGCATTTTCATATGGCATAAGCAAGTCAGTTTTCAAGAAGCATTTTCACACATTCTGACTACTACGCATTTCTCAGCTGGTGAATAATTTTATTTGGACAGCATAAAGAATTAGGCTAATGATATATGTTTGATTAGTGTTTCAGGGTATCAGATCCATCAAGGGGAAGGAAAGGTCTCAGCCAACATTGTGGGAACCAGGGAGACTCCAAACCAGAGCTACCCCAGTAAGATTCCAGTTCAGGTAAACACTGCAGTTAGTTTAGTTTATAGATCTCCTCTCAGGTGAAATATCAAAATACTAGGGGTATGCATTTTTGTGTCAGGAAGTTATTCTTCTGAAGACCATGAAAATTAGGATAATGTTGGATAACTGATAACAGACAGAATTCAGCATTATCATTCATCACCTCAATCTGATGATATCACATGCAGGGGCTTATGCAAAAGTTTAACTTCCTGAGAATCTTTTTTAATTGAAAAATGTAACAGGAACAGATGCCAGCTGAATGCTCTTAGGTTAGATTTCAGCTGATTTCAGAGTTTTAGTTTTTGTAGTTCTCTATGTCCATCTTTCAAAGTGGTTGTTCCAGTATTTAAATCCTGCATTTGAAACAATTTCACAAACCTACATTCCTTCATTTTAATGAGTCCTGGAAAACAGGAAATAAAGGGTTCAAAGGAAGGGCAGACAACTACTGTAAATCACAAAGTATATTCCCTCCAGAAAGTGATTATTTTAAAAAACAAAACCTGATCATCATTAGAGATGTAATTATAACAGATTGTTTAAACTCTAATGATGTTGCTCTGAGGTAATCAGTCTTTATAACCCTATTCAGTGAAAAGAACGACATTACCTTTGCAGTATGATGAAGTGAAATGCAGCTGACAAAATATAATGAATCAAGAAAAAGTAAGACTTTCAGCTTCCAGGTAGGCCGTTATAAAGATCTACAGCTCATGCACTCTAATTTATGGTGAACAGAGAGTCTGTCTCAGAACAAACTAATTTCTACTTGTACGCAGTACCATGTAAATACTGGATTTTTTTACTGAGCATGCAAATTCAATTATGAGACTGTATTTTCATTCCAAGAGAAGCAGAAAAGCTATGTATATGGTAAACTGAATTGGAAATCCACTATTTTGGATGTCTGGGGTTTTTTTTGCTGAGGCCCTCAAGATTTATATTCATAACAAAACAGTTTCAGGCTTTATTTTTACGTTCACTACGGCTATCTTTAATCATACACGAATAAGGACTAAATGCCCAAGCAGCTGTTTTCTCTTTCTGTTGGCAGTATAATAATGACATAATAGTCTCTATGTCAAGCATTGTCAAAAAATCTGTATTCTGACATTTGTTTGCAGAACCTATTGAATATTAAATCTGCAAAATTTCAAATATGCTTTTACAGACATATCTGAATATACCGAATATTAATTGTGATCTTATCTAGTAAGTTCTACTGATACTCAAGTCCAAGAGTACTTTGATTTTTAATTACATACCTTGGTGCCATTTGTTTCCTGTCTTGATCAATTAATCTCCAGGCACTTAAATAATTTTGATTCTGCAATGGCCAACTGATTAAAAAATATCTGACTCAAATAGAAATGTCTGCCTCAGTTGTAGTCTATTTTAAAGTTATTTGTGTTGACAAGGAGTTTAAGAAAGCTCATATCAGATGCCACATTTAATTCATGGCATGAAAGAAATCCAACACTTCAAACTGGAAGAGTCTCTCATCATATTTTCTCAGTTAAAATGTTCTTCGTCTTTCAAGTTTGTCACATGTAGAGCTTTATTTTTAGCTGACATAAGGGCTGAACGTTAAGATGAGAGCTTTAATACCAGAAAAAATCAGCTAGATGTTTCTTTAATGTTTCATATTATAGGCTAGAGCATACATACTACAGTATGCTGCTAGAGTTAATGAAGTGTTTTGCTGAGCTGCAACAGCAAACATATGCTCATTTAATCTCTGGTGCTAATGACCTAAAGAGTTAAAGGGAATAGATGCCCTAGAATTATTTTGCCATGCTTCTGGCAAAATAATTTGATGTACTAATGGAACATGAAATAAAATCCTAGATTTGCAACTTAATTAGAACTGGTTGTCAATTAACAATAATTGCTCCTGACCTGAGGCTCAGTAGTACATTTGTGAGGTTCACACAAAAGAGCACATCACTGTCCTTTATATCAACAGACCTTTCACACCGAATATGTACCCACTGCTGTAGCTGTGCTTTACATGAAGTAGTTAAATCTCTATTTTGAAACTGATTAACCTTCTCCATTACAATAAAGTATAAGAAATCTGTACTAATCTGTTTTAAGAAAAAAATCAAAAGAACAAGCAACCCCCTGATCACTTCACCAGTTAAAATGAGTGTTAGTGGCAGTGGTGGCAAGCCTGAATACCCACACCCTAATGAGCATGGCTGAGCTGACCTGGGCTGCCCGGGGCACCTGAGGTACAGAAATACTCCTTAGGAAAGGTAATGAAAGCCTTGCCTAATCTTCTCTGCTTAGATTCTTTCAAAGTCTGTAAAAAGTGGCCATAAGTGGTGGTTAAAGTTGTTCAGACCCTCCTTAAATATACTCATGACAAAAGCAAACATCAGCTTGTTTTTCTAGGGATAAAATGTTGCTATGTTTGAATGTGTAATAAATATTAGAGGAAAAAAAAATACCTAAAACAGGTAGGAATACTGCAGGCTTTTCTGATGTTAATGAAAAAAAAAAAAGACAAAGGGACAAAATGGAGAACAGACATGCTCGAACATTTTGTCTGAGTTCTGTTTTTCCCATATCCTTCATCTGTTTTCTGTCTTGTATGACTGTAAGCAATTTGGGGCAGAGGAGGATTTTCTTGCTTGGCACACTCTTAGCAGACTTGAAATGCTACCACAATATGCATAACAATAACAAGAAGAGAAAAATCATACTTAAGCACTGGAAATGTCTTCTACATATTTAATAAATTAAAATAGCTCTTGTAAAGTATCCTTCTGTTCTAATGCAAATCAGATAAGTGCCAGAGGACTGAGCTAAAATAAAAATACTGTGGGCACCTGGTCTTCTGAGTTTTCCTAACTACAAATACCTCATTTTGCATGACCTCTTCACCTATTTGGGATGTTCGTATTTATACAGTCTTGTGCTAAAAAGGCACATTTCCACCCTCTTTCCATT